ACAAATTTGGACCTGTATGTTCCCCCCTTAGAATCTAATGTGGAAGAACCTCCTAAAACAAAATCCACATTAGTGGACCAGGATGGAATAAATGATTCTTTCAAGTTGGATTCTGAATCTGAGAGAGAAAAGCCTACAAAGTTACATAGAAGCCGCCATAATAGGGAGTGGAGAGGACTAGTGAGAGATGTGGTTGATCCCCCTCCTTTGCGAAGCTCTGAAGTGAACAATATTCACTTTGAGGAAAGAACCCATCGCAAACTAAGCCGTGGAAGATCCCCTTCTCCTGGTTTAAGTCAGAAGAAAAGAAGCAGGACTGAAGAGAGGCAACAGGCAAAGGTGTGAATCTTTAAATTCTTACTCTTTTTTTCTCTTTTTTTTTTTTGTCTTTTTTTCTTTTTGATTGAGCAACAGGCAGGTCCAAAAATATTTATAACTAACATGTTGATAATTGTATCTCTGCTTTTAAAATTATTTTTATTTCTCAATTCAACTTGATGTTATGTAATTGTATATGGTTTTTCATTCCATTTTTCCTGTTTTATGAGCCTTCACTGAACTTTATGGTAGGGGGAAGCTGTTGCCCAAGTGAAAATTGATGCTCCTCGTCGGCTACTCCAGTTTGCAATGCGAGATGCTGTGGGAAGTTTAAGGCCAGCAAATGCCACAAAAGAGCCTTCGTTGAAGAGTCTTTCTTCTGTGGTGTCAACATGCTCTGGAGTTTCATCATTGCCTGATCGTCCTCAAAGGCTTCAGTCTGTTGCATGGGTGCCAACTCCCATGGCAACTGTGATAAAGGCTGTTGCAGAAGCTGCTGAAGATGTTCTAAAAGCTAAATCATCAGGAAATGTGTTTGACAGACTTGGTCGAGGCATGGATGTTTCTGAGAGCCCAGATCAGCATGCAGAATTCAGAGGATTTGTTGCTGAGGATGATGAATTTGGAGATTTCAGCCAGAATCTGGTGGAAAATCAATCACTGTATTTGCAGAGAAATGAGTATGCTGGACAACAGGTCAGAAATGTGGCAGCATTAGATAGTGAAACTGGGTTGGCTTCTGACTTTATGTCTGAAAATGAAAGGTTTAATGATTTTAAAGTTATGGGACATGGAATCATGGATGTTTCTCAAACTGCTACGTCTGCTGGAAACAATGCTGAGGATTCAGTTATGGTGCAATACAACATACCTAATGATAACAAAGTCATGCGATTAACAAGGAAGAAAGATCAGGGTCCATCTGTTGGAGCATCAAGTTCTTCTCATAAGATAGCTAACGTTTCAAGGAATGTAAATATTTGGAAAGCCCCTCATTATCAGGAACCAAGGGAGGTTGCTGATTTGGGTCCTCAAAAATCTGTTCAGGAGAGTGAGGCAGTTGTGGGAAAATATAGTTTTCAACCAATGAAGGAGAATGGCAACTCTGTTACTGTTGGTCATAAAAATGTAAGATGTTTGCTCTTTATAACCCTTTTCTTCCTGCATTCAATTTTTTCTTCCGTTAATTGGCTGTTCAAACTAAATAGCTATTCATCACAGGCAAAATCTGCTGGTGATATTCAAAAAGAAAATCAGAAGCCATTGCAGTCTGCTTCTGGTGAGTTGCCTTCTGATGGTACCATTTGCTTTGGTGCTTTCATGATTGTAATTTCTTTTTGACCCCATCTCTAAAGTAGTGTTCTTCATTATCTTGTTTCTGTACTTGCTGCTTTCTTTTTTAATATCTTTAAAATAATAATTTTTATTCTATTTCCAGGTTTGTGTGCTGTTGGTCATCCTTTAGAGGATCCAGATTCTCGAACTATTTTTGTTAGCAATGTAAAGGACTCAAACTGCTATACTTGTGAAAAATATTTTTTCTCCATCACAAGTCTTGACATTGTATTGTTCTGTCATTAACTGTAAGCAGGTTCACTTTGCTGCTTCCAAGGACAATCTTTCTCAACATTTTAATAAGTTTGGAGAAGTACTAAAAGTGATTATAGTTACTGATGCAGCAACAGGGCAGCCTAGAGGGTAAGGTGTCAGCAAACCTTATTTCCAACCAATTGCACCCCCCCCCCCCCCCCAAAAAAAAAAAAAAAACCCAACGCAACTCCCCGCTATCTGTTTCTGTGCTTATAATATTTCATTTAACTAGTTCTTACAAAGACACATTGATTAAGCAGGTCAGCTTACGTGGAGTTCATGCATAAGGAGGCAGCAGACAATGCATTATCTCTTGATGGAACCTCGTTCATGTCACGAATACTGAAGGTATTAATTTCAAACCTAGGTTCACTTGGAAATCCAAATTTGTGGAGGCCCGTTTTCCCATGGCATCTCGTTTTATCTTTCTACTCTTTCTAGGTAGCCTAGATATCCTGTATTTTGAATGGTAAGTATGGCTAGATTTCTAGAAGATTAGTTGAATAATTGTATTAACATGGTACTTACGTAAGTAAGAGCTGATTTAGTGAAGCATTGTGCCCAAAACAAGGTTTCAAGTTAGTTGGTGCCAACTAGGGTCTTGGTCATTTGACGTATGTGGATTGTGGTACATCATAAGTGCACCATGTCTGCATTTGTCAGCAGGTAATCTGAACATATGTGGAGCTGTGGTTCAAGTGTGTTGCACTAAGTGTTTGTATGTGGTTCTGTAATTTTTTGAGCTTTCTTGCCTCAAAAATGACATTGCTTTTGGTTTCTAGCTCTTAAAGTGTCTATGCCTCTAAACTGAACCTTGAGTGCCATTCTTTTTAATTTGGCAGGTTGTAAAAAGGAGCTTTGCTGATCAAGAAGCTGCTCCTTCTCTGACATGGCTTCACATCCCTCGGAGCTCTTCATTTTCTGGTGGAAGGTTTACCAGAGCTAGTTTCAGTAGAGGCATGGCAGGGATATTTAGGCCTTGGCTTTCTGTCAAACCTGGTGCGAGGAGTTTGCAGTGGAAGCGAGATGCTCAGGCCACTCCTGAAAGTGGTACTCCAGTTCCCAGGAACAGTGTTTCCACCCCCATTGGGCGTAGTCTAACCTATGTCCGAACAGAGCCCAAAAATGATGGCAAATCAGGTACAACCTAGTTAACCTCAGAATGCTAAGAAGTTTTTATAGGAGTGATTGTACCAACTAGGCTGTGAATCAGAAGGTTGGAAATAGATACCACTAGTAATTGTGGTTTTTTCAAGAAGATTATTGGTGTAAATGGGAACGTTTGCAGGGCTAAAAAAGAGGAGGATGTTTTCTAGAATTAGAGAATGCTAGAATGCTGCAATTTTTTCAACTCCTTGTCCCCGTCCTATTTTGGCACTAGACAGAGCCAGAGGGGGCAGTGGAATGGAGATAATTTATTATACGCAGTTGCTCCTTTTTTTCTCCCACCCGAGTTATTATATATTATTACAAACTACCGTGATGGATTGAAATTTTGTGTTTAGGGTGCACAGCATGGTTAGCCCCCTTGGTTTTTTTTTTTTTTTTGTACTTTTTTTTGAGGGACAAGTTTCGTTTATGATATAATTATATGATAAATTGAGAAAATTGAAGAAAGTGAAAAAAAAAAGAGGGGGATTAGCAATTTGAAACTAGGTTGCATTTTTCACCTTTTTATTTTTATTTATTTTTTTATGTGTGTATTTTTTTATTTGAGTTTACACTTTACAGCCTGGAGCTGTGACAATCTGATAAAAGATGGGGCCATTTGCATAAATATGATATATTCTTTCCTTTACTTTTCTGAATTTTACAGCTGGAGCTGTGACAGTCTGAAAAAAAATGGGGTCACTGCATAAACATGCTCCATGTCGTGCATTGGTTTAACTACTGGAATTTACCTTTATTTTTATTTTTATTTCTATTTTTGTGGTTGTTAACATGAGCTATGGACGCAGTGCAATGCTTTTGCATTATGAATGAATCAACAAGATATGATATCATATCTCCACCCCGACCCACCCCACCCAAGTTGCTTCAATAATGGGGGAAATGAAACTACGTCCTAATTTAATAACACATAATTCGGCTGGATGAAACTCAAAATTAAAAAAAAAAAGGTTGCGTCATTTGTAGATATCCAAGGGACCCATTGGGTTGGGGTTAAAAAATAGGAGTACGAAGAGAATTCGTCCATTTGAGGCATCGTTGCATCATTTGTACATATATATCCAACTTTAACTTGATTTTTGTCCTAAATTGGGTAATTAGATGTTTAATTATTGCTGTAGTGGTGTTAGTTAAACCATAACCCAGGTGATTGCTTTGAGCGAATCTTCTGATTCTGAGACAGACAAATTATTATTGCGGTCAGGTACATCTTTTTTCTTTTTTTTTTTGATAAAACAAAACAAAACAAAACAACACAACACAACACAACACGCTGTAGGCAACAGTAGTGATGACATCTATGCTATCTACCTTCTCAATTGAACAATTGAAGGACGCCACACTTTCAACGTGCTCTATTCTTATCTTATCAAATCTTCTCATCTGTATTATATATATACGAAAACAACAATGATAATATATTTTTTACCTAAAAAACAATAAACTTTTTTTTAAATGGTTATAATTTAGATAAAAGAAAGAGGAATATTTGTATGGTATTATTATAGTTTTAATATTAATTAAAATAATAAATGCAATAATTAATTATATTACGAAGTTTGGTGGTACAAAGCAATAATGATCATTACTATTCTAACCCAATGAATGAATTGATGGCCCTACTAACTATGCTATATAGAATTGCATACTTCTTACAAAAATTGTATGGCTTTGGTTATTCCACTTTAAGATATTTTCAAGTTATCAGCTATGCATAGTAATGGCTTTAACATTTTACCCGTATTATAAAAAAAAATATTTAGCAATTTAAATTATAAATTAACAATTATTTGTTAAGAGGTGATAGTTTATATATATATATATATATATATTTCCCTGGATTTAGCATTAAAATTAAACATTTTTAAGTTAAAATATTAAGATTAATGTTTATTCACCTTACCTTCTAAAAATCAAAAGAAAAATTATTTTAAAATTATATAATTTTAATAAAATATTATAAAAAAATAAAAAATACTTTAATTTATGTTTTAAAAATAAAATATTAATCCTTTTCAATAAAAATTTATTAAAATGGCATAATTTTGAAATGATTTTCTTTTTTATTTTTAAAAAGCAAACCGAATATACACTATTTCTTCAAATATATATTAAGTTATTAACTATAGAACCAACTTTTTTGAGAAGGGGGATTGCTTAGTTATCACAGCAAGCTGTACATATATAACAAGGAGAAAGGAGATTGAGTTCGTATTATTTGTGGCGTGGTGGCAGCGAATAGCCGTAGTACCCGTTCGTTAGCTGTGCCTGATGGCTAAGCCTGTGGCAACAAAAATCCTTTCTCGCTACAACATCTGCCCTCCACCAGACTCTACTCCTCCGTCCACCTCTCTTCCCTTAACTTTCTTCGACATCCCTTGGCTTTTCTTTTCTCCAACTCAACCCCTCTTCTTCTATCAATACCCTCACTCCACTGATCATTTCCTATCCTCTACTCTTCCTACCCTTGTCCACTCTCTCTCCCTTACTCTTCACCATTTCTTTCCCTTTGCTGCAAATCTTGTGCTGCCCTTGGGATCCAACAAACCCATCATTTCTTACAACCAAGACAACTCTGTCTCACTTACCGTGGCAGAGTCTGATGCTGACTTTTTTTACCTTTCCGATTACCATCAAAGATGGGCTAATCAATTTCATGCCCTGCTACCAGAATTGTCAAGTACAACTAGGGGATCCATGAAACAAGAGCAAGGGATTCCTCTGTTTGCTGCAAAACTCACCATTTTTCCAAATTATGGTGTATGCATTGGACTTGCATATCACCATGTTGTTGCTGATGGGAGAACATTCAACAATTTCATCAAGACATGGGCGTCTTTACACCGTCAACAGTACTGCTCTTCTTCTTCTTCTTCTTCATCTTCATCCTCATCCATTCATTCACCACCATCTTACGAAAGGACAGTGATCAAAGACACACATGGGCTGGAGTCCATCTTCCTTAAGGAGTACTGGTGCATCCGAAAATTGTCCACGGATATGAATGGAGATGGACTGGCTATTGGCTGTAATAATGCTAATGCAGACTTGTGTGATGATATGGTTCGAGCCACCTTCGTAATGAGCCCTACTGACATGGCCAAGATTAAACAATGGATCATTAATCAATGCAAGGAGAAGAAGAAGCCAGAGCCTACGCATTTATCCCCTTATAATCTAGCTTGTTCTTTTTGTTGGGTGTGTTTGGTGAAAGCAGATGATGAGGAGAAACGTTTAGAGTTTGATGAGGAGGAGGAGGATCCTACTTACTTGGGATTCAATGCGGGCGGTATTAGCCGGCTGGACTATCCAGATTCTTACTTTGGTAACTGTATCGGATTTGCTCGATGCATGGTAATTAGGAGGGAGTTGTTGGGAGAGGATGGAATGATTGTGGCAGCAACTGTGATTGGGAACAAGATTAAGGAGGTGAACAAAGCAATACTGGAGGGGGCAGAAAAGTGGATCTCAGATTGGGTGGTTTTTACGAAGTCGGAGAAGAGGAAGAAGGTGCACCTTATGGTTGTGGGATCACCAAAGGTGGATTTTTATGAGACGGATTTTGGGTGGGGGAGACCTAAGAAAATAGAGGAAATTTCAATAGATCATGGGAATGGGGATGCAATATCTTTAACGGAAAGCAGAGATATCAAGGGTGGGATTGAGGTTGGATTGGCTCTATCTAAGCCTAAAATGGATGCTTTTGCTTCTGCCTTCACTCGGAGTTTGAAGCTCATGAAATGAAATGATGATTTCTTCTTGACTTGATGATGGGTTGGGTTGGGTTGGGACTTGAAGGCATCTATGGAAACAAAAACAAACAACCTTTCTTCTTCTTTTTCTTCTTCTTCTTTTGTTGTACGGTAAATTAATGTTTTCCTATCAATCAATCCACCCAATTTGCATTTAGGATCTTGTGTTGTCCTCGTCGTAATCTAGATGTTGGGACTTGAAGGCATCTATGGAAACAAAAACAAACAACCTTTCTTTTTCTTTTTCTTCTTCTTCTTCTTTTGTTGGTAAAGTAAATTAATGTTTTCCCATCGATCAATCCACCCAATTTGCATTAAGCATCTTGTGTTGTCCTTGTCGTAATCTAGATGGGAAGGTTATTTAAGGCCACCCAGCACACCAGCGGTCAAAATTTTTTTCGACGCCAGCCAATGCTGGTTTTTCCTTTAATGATAAGGAAGGAAGGATTCTCATTTGCTTTTGTTGCTTTCAATATTAAGAAAGCAGACTCATTTATGTAAAAAATAAAAAATATAAAAAAATAAAGGCTACTCATTTTCTCAAAATAAGCAGGACAAGTTATCTATGAAATGTAGACAGGACAAGTTCATATCAATTTTTTTATTTTTATTTTTTTGCAATCAATAGAATTTCTTTCTCTTGTTCTTTCCCCCCCTTTTTTTTTTTTTTCCTTTTTCAGGGAATGTATTTTAAAAGGGTTGTCAAACAATAACCCCCTCCCCCTCTATTTACACCATAAATTCCAACAAAATTTATTATGCCACATGTTAAATTATTTTAAATAGTTGAAAGAAATTGAGCCATAGCAAATTTTTTGTTTCATGGCCCTTGACAGGTCATATGCCACATAATTAGAAGAAAAAAACAAAGGGGCAAAAAGATGAGGTTTATCCATTAATTGCTCATTTGAGTCATGGTGAAATTGCTTCAATTGGTTTTTAGGAGTTTGTTTCAATTAA